GACTCATGTGGGGCTCATGTGGGCTCATGTGGGGCTGATGTGGGCTCATGTGGGGCTCGTGTGGGCTGATATGGGAGCAGGATTGACGGGGATCGCGAGGGTCTGTTGAAGCGGCAAAAAACGTTGCATCCAGAGCAAAAAACGAGCATCCAGAGCAAAAGAACGAGCATCCAGAGCAAAAAAGCGAGCAAAAGACGAGCATCCAGAGCAAAAAAACGAGCATCCAGAGCAAAAGACGAGCATTCAGAGCAAAAAACGAGCATCCAGAGCGAAAAACGAGCATCCAAAGCAAAAGACGAGCATCCCGAGCAGAAAAAACGAGCATCCAGAGCAAAAGACGAGCATCCAGAGCAAAAAACGAGCATCCGAGCAAAAGACGAGCATCCAGAGCACAAACCGAGCATCCTGAGCAAAAGACGGCATCCAGAGCACCAAAAAACGACCCCACTCCGCCGGGCTCCACATGAGCCCACATGAGTCCCAGATGAGTCAAGATGAGTCCCACATGAGTCCCATATCGCGAGCTTCATCCAGAGCACCACAACGAGCATCCAGACCACCAAAAGCATCAAAACGGCTTTGGGCTAGGGCGCGGGAAGGCAACCAAACTCTTAAAAAACCGGCACTACCTAAACCAGGGACAACCCTAGCCGGCGAACCCTACACGCTGTGCAGCAGGGACGACGCAGGGCAGCCTAGTAGGGATTAGGGTTCTAAGGGGTTTGGGGGGGGGGGGGTTTTGGGATCTAGGGTAACCGGGGTTCACAAGACACACGGGCACTCGCAGGGCAACCAAACCCAATGCCTCACCCACGGGCCCAGATCTCGACCCTCGGAAAAAACCTGTAGTCGAGAGATAGAATCATTGAGAGAACACAGAAGGATGCTTTACTTGGGGGAAGAGATCTCCTGTGCTCTCTACACGCCTCGGAAGGTATATAGTGCGATATGGGAAGTGGGATCGATTGTCACATTGGGGTTTTCTAGACACGGGGTTCGGGCTTTATTTGCAGACGGGGGGAGTCTAAGGAGAGTCGGGATGTTTTAGGAGAGTCACAAAGGCGGATTCGGAGATGGCGGATGAATATACGGCACACCGCGGCACACCGCTTGGCGCCGTAGACGTTAGAACTGCTGAGAGTACCGAAAAACAGGTGTTCAGGCAAGACACCGGCCTTCTCGGGCGCGAAACAGCGCCTCTGCTCTCTCCCAGCCCACTTGAGCAAAGCGCGGACGCGTCAGCAACACACAAGGGACTCCTGATCTGCAGCATCACACTCGACGAAGGCCAGCACCCACCTTTTGACCTCAACTTTCCCAAATCCTTTCTACTTGCGGCCTATGCCGCGGGAGCACGCGAGCTGGACTCGTCCATCTACTGCAAAGTGAAACCTGCTGTCCGATGCGCGCATGTTTAGACACGTTCTAGGTGCCTGCAGTCGCCCGGAAGTGCCACCTCTTCGCAATACTTTAGTTAACTTATACTAAACACGGGCGCTTCCCGGCGGTCAAAGCGTTCACTTGCGAAACTGGATGTTGCAGTCAGGAAGCTCTGATTTCAGCACGCAATATTGCAAGCTGGATCTGCGGAGGCTCCCACTAGCAGACACTAGCAGGACGCAAAAGATACAAACGTGCACTTGGTCCAAGCCACACGAAATTATCAACTACAAAATTTGAGGCTGCCAGCAGCAGTCACTTGTGTTGGCAGCAGCGGAACTCTTGAGCCTAGCAAGCATGCCTGGCAAACAGCACGCCGTCTCACGTAACAGAGGTGCGCTGCTGCTACCGCTGCAAATCCCGACGCAGCGCGGTGAGCATGTCCTTGACTCCGCTTATTATCTCATCCTTTACATCTTGCATCTCAGCGCGCATCTCATCCTTTACACCTTGCATCTCAGCGCGCATCTCATCCTTTACACCTTGCATCTCAGCGCGCATCTCATCCTTTACACCTTGCATCTCAGCATGTACAGCCGCCTTTACACTTCGAATCTCCTCCTTTGCACTTCGAATCTCAGCATACACATTCCGATACTCTGTCCAAATTGCAAACACATCACACTGTGCAATCTTGAATGTAGTGTTAAGTCTTTTTAGGCTGTCTCTTGCAGCCGTGGTAGCCAGGTTGAAACTTGGGGTGTCTGCGTTCAAGCAAACTACACAGCAGACAGGCTGTTGCAGGCCTGGTCCAAATCTCAAAGCACGCTCTAGCTGCCATAGCCTCGCTTGCAAGCTGGCAGGCGTCTCGGCAACTTCAGCCAAGATGATCGGGAAACTAGCATTTGTTTCGATGTCCTTCCATGGCGTCTTTCCTGCTAATTGCACGTGCCTTTGGGCACACTCTTTAAACACATCGACAGGCTTGAGGCCTGTGCCCCGGAGGTAGAGGTCACATTCCACTACCATCGGGTTTGGAGGGGTGCCTTTCGTGGGCTTGTTTTTCCAATGAAGCGGAGAGGGAGCTTTCCAATTGGTTGAAAATCTCTTCTGTAGGGCAGTCTGTGCCCCCACGTCTGGACCAGAAATTGTATAGGAGGTGAGACGTTCTATGTTTTGACCGGGTTGGGTGGCAAGACGTGCGATCACCTGCCGTTCGAAGTCTTTCGCGGCGTATGTATGTTGGATGTCATCAACAGCCATCCAATCCTGGCAAGTGCCAGAGGGACACCTACACCAGAATCACTGATGTCATGACTCATAACTCCTCATCTTTAGCATGTGACGCAAGCACGACACCCCCTCCGCAGTGAAAGCCTTCAAGACTCCAGCCCTTTTCAAAACCTGTTTGCGATTCTGTCCCAGATCTTGAGACTGCCGGGCGACTGATGTTCCACTGGTCGCCTGCAGCTTCGTTTTTCCTGCAGCAGGAAACCAAAAACGCGAGCAGTCGCCTTTTTGGCCAAGCCCGGAGGCTGCCGCCTTCGCAGTGACAGGGGCCAAGGCACCGACGGTTCATAGCTGGATGCACCACCTGAAAGCGCAACAAAGTCGGACAAAGAAGCGCCTCTTTATCAAGAAAGAGTTGTTGCCCCGCCAGCTGTCCGCTCCAGCCTGGCTACAGAACACGCAGCTTGGAGCTACGAAGACCTGAGCCAAAGCCAACTTGGCCCTGCAAGACAGTCACGATGACGACCCACCTGTCGAGTCCTGGTGGAGAGAATGTCCACGACGCCGCTTTGCGGCCATGCCTCCGACGCATGAGTCTGACACTGTGCTTTGACTTGTGGAAACAAATTTCCAAGACACCCTGAGAACGAAGAGCATCAAGCATAGGACAGCCATCTTGCCAGCTAAACCTCCAGCCAGAAGGCTTGTGCAAAAAACAGCATGCGTGGGCACGCATTTCCATGCTTTGCGAACTGCAAACACCAACCAAGCAATTGGGCCACTTCGCTCATGCCGTTTGAGGCGCTTGCATGTTGAAGTGGAGGGCGACCACGATACCTGCAGGGCGTTCTCATAAGCCAGCCAGTGAAGCGCTCTCCTGGCTGCCGCGCCCGATCTTGCGTCCCACGGCATGGCGATATTACGTTTACAATCTTCCGTTTGCGCACCATGACTACACAAAGCTAGGAATCCATTAGGAAAACAAGACTGACGAAGCACGTGTCAAACGCAAACAAAAAACTATGACACCTATATCAAATCTTAGGTCGCCTAACACTTTTTGAAGAAACTTTCTTGCCCGTCTGACCTGAGTTCAGCTGCAACAAGCGCTCAACTTAGTCAACATTTCTTCAGGAAGCAATCATGAAAAGCAATCAAGAAAGGCAAGAGATGATCAACAAATTCAACGTTGTTTGAAAACAATGCTCTGGATGAGCATCCAGAGCAAAAAACGAGCATCCAGAGCGAAAAACGAGCATCCAGAGCAAAAAACGAGCATCCTGAGCAAAAGACGAGCGTCTTTTGCTCTGGAGGTGCCTCGCGGGAGCGCGGAGCCTCAGGCTGACGAGGCGTGGCGGTCAGGCAGCTCCGAGACTGCAATCCCGGACCCACCGCGCCGCCATAATTTCGGAGCCTTCACTCACGTGTACTCATGTGGACTCATGTGGGGCTCATGTGGGCTCATGTGTGGCTCGTGTGGGCTGACATGGGAGCAGGATTGATGGGGATCGCGAGGGTTTTTTGAAGCACCAAAAAACGTGCATCCAGAGCAAAAAACGAGCATCCAGAGCAAAAGACGCGCATCATCCAGAGCAAAACAACGAGCATCCAGAGCAAAAGACGATCCAGAGCAAAAACACGAGCATCCTTCAGCAAAGTCTCGGAGCCGTCCGTGGCCCGAACCACCATGGAATCGTAGGACTCCACGCCCCGCACCGCCCCGTACTGGGGCTGGAAGCTCCGCGCCGCATATAGGTGGGGGCCCGGAACGCCCCCGCTTCCTCGAGTCGCCGCTGACGGCTCCTCGTCAGCTCATCGTTGTCCTGGTATACCCTGAAACGGCCGGCATCGTCTCCACATCCTCCGGGGCTACCGTCACTGCCTGGTGCGGCCGGGCGTTGTAGGCCTCCGCGACCGTGGTCGCCCCACCCGCCGCCCTTCCGGGCCACCTTGCCCGCCATGAATCGCCCTGTCCACCACCGCCGTCGCATTCCGATCCGTTGGGTCCTTCTGCCGGTGCACCACGGTTTCGGGCAGTGCCGCCTCGAGGCTTCGGAACTCGTTTCGCCACATACTAGACGCTGCGTCAGCTCCAGAGCCAGGTGGCGTTGCGCCGCCCGAAACCAGTCAGCAGCAGGCTCTCGCCTCCCAGGCAGTGCATCACGGCATCCTCGATGCCTTCTCCCGCGGCGGCGCCCTTGCAGCCCCACCACGGCCTCGTAGCGGTTGACAGGCGTGCCGTCTCTGTGCGACATGCGCAGCAGGCGGGACGAGGCAGTCGCTCTTCAGGTAGCGCCTCGGCACCTCTGCCAGGGCCCGTCGAATCCGGGCCACCGCCACGTACTCGGAGCCCATGATGTAGTCGTGCACTGCCACCGAAGGTCCACGACCCGTCGTGGCGATAATATCGCAGCGCATGCCATCGAAGCGATCTGCATTCGGTTTGAGCGTCACGACTGGCTCTACAATGCCGGGGGTTTCGCAGCCGTTCTGAGAGAGATTGAACATGAATTCGAACAATTAATCATCAACCAGTAGAAGCTGCGATTCTAGCAGATTCTAGCGGTTAGTTGACCGGCGAACCGGACACAGTGATCTTATGCACAGCACTGCCAGCGGCCGTTTTAGTGACCAGAGAAGTGACCGTACTGGTCTTGTGTACAGCACCTCCTGCTTCAACGCATCAGACGAAACTACCGCGTCGATGCTCTCTGCCAGTATCTTGATGCCTTCTTGAACAAGTCCTTTCCGCAAAGTTCTCCGCAGGTCTTGGCGACTCCGTCCTAGTTGTCGGAATCTCGGGCAGCTTTGCGAAGCGTTGTTTACAAGTCGCCTCTTCCCCTGAGGCGAGGGCGCTCTTTCTCCAAGGACTAGCACCGATCAAAATTGCGCTTCTGAACCCAAGTCCCCGTAACAAAATTGCGCTTTTAACCCCTCCCATGAGATTAAACCTGGACGTACCGACCCTCACTTAGTGTACATACAGGTCAGCAGGCACGCAGGTGTCTCTTTTCTCGCCAGCAGGCTCAGACTATCTTGGTCACTGGCCTACTTCGCTAGACCGAACCTTGAGAGGAGAAGCAAGCATGGAAACATGCATGTGAGACGTGTAGCAGTCATGTACCGAATGAGTGGCATTCAGAAACTCACCCCCAGCCCCCCCCGTAACAAAATTGCGCTTCTTGAGCCCCCAGTCCCCGTAACAAAGGGTATGTCTTTATTTCCTTCTGATTCCTGTCGCCCTAAAGATATGAGGGCATTCAAAAATAGAATATACTATAAATGCGGCAATATATTCCGCATCACTGAAATATATGGAAAGAAAAGGGGAAAATACTCACAGCCACTCGGTCACCTTCGTTTTGC